AATTCACTTTCTTTTTATTTTTATTTTTATTTTTATTGTACTTGCTTTTATATAACTATGGATTTCTTGATACACCAATTTTTTATACATTTAAGTATTTTTGAGAATAATTTATATATGATATTATATTATATCATCGTATGTGATAAAGATGTTCTTACATTCTCGTAAAATAGAGGTATTCTCCTTTGAACCACCAAATATACATAGCAATCTTTTGCAAACTCTCCCAAGGTTACAAATCATTAATCATGCAAACTATTCCTACCCCTTCTCTTAATCGACGGTTGAGATTTTTCTGAATAAATATTGATTTAAAAAATTAGGAAAATGGTAGTTTTGGAATTTATGTTAATTAATTTTAATTTTTATATTTACAAGTTATTATAGACAAAAAAAATTGCATGTTGTGAAGACTTCACTTGTGTTTATTATAGATAAAAAAGTTGCATGTTGCGAAAGCTTCACATGCTCCATTCACTTTTGGCTTGTTTATGAATTTTCCTATAGAAATTGTTGAGGCTAGACCATCCTATCCACATAAAAGAATGTATTAGTATAATGTGTACGTCTATTTTACCCTTTTGATTCTCTTTTTCACTAAACCATTTGTAACTTGTAAGGGTTCCACTGAAAGATCAAATGTTTAAATATAAATTTTTTATATTTTTTGATAAATAGTTGCACTCATTTTTAGTTTTAGTCTTATTAGAAAATTTGGCATCCCGCCGTATTATGCGGGCACACAACTAGTAATTTGAAAAAGCATTTTTAATAAATTAATAATAAATCTCTTAACAAATAATTTATTTTCGTGTAATATGAAAAAGTATAATACCTCAAATAAAAAACTGTATTTATTATAAGTTACTTTTATTATGTTATAATTAATTAGAATAGTTTGAAAGAAAATACGTAGAATTAATAATTTTGAGTAAACAACATATTTGTTCTATGTCGTCACTACAATAAAATCAGTTTTATATATAAGACACTTCCAAATCCTAAGTGTCTTAATAGATCTTTTTATAGGACATAGTTTATAGGATCAAAAAAATAAAGTGTCATATCTAAAAGTGTTGTAATAAGTTTATATGACTTTTTTTGATGTCGTAATACGTTTTTTAGAACACTTTTAATATAAAACGTCTCATTATCAACTTTATATGACACTTTTGTGAAAGTGTCCTATAAACTTAATTTTTTATATGACATTTGTTTTTATAGGACAAATTTTCAAATGGTGTCTTCAAAAGTTGATAATGGGACACTTTATATTAAAAGTGTTCTAAAAAACTTATTACGACATCAAAAAAACGTTATATAAACTTATTACAATACCTTTAAATAGGACACTTTAATTTTTTGGTATTATAAATTAAGTCTTATAAATAGGTCTATTAAGACATTTAAGATTTGAGGTTGGTTTTAATTCTATCATTGGTGTTAGAAACTATAGTATGGTTTCCAATATGCCTAAAGGTTTCATGAGTTTGTTGTTGATGGTAAGGTTAAGTATGTTGATATATAGTTTTTTTTTATACCTTTTGTTGTAATTATGTTTTCATATTATTTTCAAAGTTTTTACAATTGAAGTATTCTTTGAGTTGTAGGGTTTTTCATGTTAAGAGTTTATATTTATCTGAGATTTCTAAGTTAGTACAGTTTTATAAAAGATTTACGTTTATAACATCATTGGACATTAGATTCTATCTCCTTTTAAGTCATAAACTGACAACAATTTAAACATGTAACCGTTACACCAGCACTATAACTGACAACCTCAAAAAAATTTATATTGAATGTATAAATATTTGGAAATAGTTAAAAGAAAAGACATTGTATTTTAATTAAACAAAGTTGGGTTATTGCGTTAGATTGTTTATATACATCAATTTTATCTAGAATGACAACAGTTAAGTTGGTGAATTTTTTTTTTAGGTAAAAGTCGTCTCTTGTCTAGGGATGGCAAAAATACCCGCATTAGAGAGGGAATCCGACGGGGATGAGGACCGAGGACACTGGCGGATTCAATACATAGTGGTAGGGGTCCTAGGCCCGCAACAAACCCACCAATTTTTTTTTTTTTTTAAAGGCTATGAAAAATTTGTTTAGTAAATTTTCTTATCATGCACCCAACAAGAATAAGACAAGGCCCCCAACAAGAACAAGACAAGGGCCCCCAACTTAATATCTTAATTGTTAATTAGCCCATTTGCAGCACACATTGATATTTTTGTTCGAAATATAAAATATAAAAATTATACAACTCGATGAATTAGTAAAACGTCATCTGAAAATCGACTTGAATAATTTATCTTTATTCGGTTAACTGAACCGTTTAAGCCAAAAAGGAAAATCCAAAACCGTTTTCATCCAGAAGAATTATTTGATTTTGAATTATTTTTCTACACGACTATACCCCTAAGTGTGCCCCTACTTTAAAAAAAATTCTGAATCCTCCACTGACCAGGGATCAAGCCGATCAAAGATGGGGATAAAGATTGCGATCCAGGTAACCCCGACCACGATGCGATCTCTACCCTTGTTGCAAAATGGCTTACATAATGAAGGTGGATCTACGTCCAAGAATCGAGGGTCAGCTGAACCCATAAATTTTCAAAATTCGATTTTTCTACTTTCGATCCCTAAAATTTATAAATTTATATCCCAACCTCGTTACCAAAAATTCAGGATTTGTACCAAAAATGTAAGTAAAAACATAAAGGTTCCAAAAAAATAGTTGAAACCTTGGTTCCTACATTCCAACTGGATGATTGTACATTTTTCTAAGAAAAATTCCAATTTGTACTCCGGAAATCGAAGTGAAAATAGAATAAGAGTACTACTATACACTTGCTGCCATTTTAGGAACTGAATAAATTACCAAGCTTTCAGTTCAATGATGCCCGCGTCTAAGCAGCGACATGAATCGGCCGGACCCCTTCTCCGTCCTACGGTCCTCCGTGTTTTCGATCTGGAAAAAGTAACCAAGAGATGACATTTGGTTTAGGTGTTCTAAATAAACCAAACCAAACAAACAAACAAAGTTCTATCACAATTTGAGGACAGTGAAGTTTAAAGAACAAAAAATAAAATAAATAATTTTTTTAAAAATGAAATAAAATGCAAAGAAGGAAGACGCATTTGATGTTTAAGAAAAGAATTATGTTTTATTTTAAAGTTATATTGGTAAATTATAGATCTGTTCCATCTCGTTTCATGGGGTGAGGTGGGAACACGCATGTTCCACTTTGTTTTTGTATGTTTCACATAAAAGTTCTATCAAGCGTGGAATAGTGATCTATGTTCTATTATGTCATGTCTATTGTACCAATCGCACTCTAAAACCAGACTCCACCTCCAGATGGGATATACTGTGCTTGTTTTGCTTGGTTTCTTATCACCCTTTGGGTCACTTTATATGGACAGTTGGATCAAATTACCATTAAATAATAACATGCATTCTTTGCCATAAAACTTGGGATGACACAGGGTAGAAGGAAATATTAAGCACAGATGAACTAAGATTCGTCTCGTACCTGGCTACTGATTTTCTTCAGAATATCAATGATCTCAGTGAAGTCAGGTCTTAAGCTTGGGTCTTTCTGCCAGCATCTCCCAAGCAGCTCGGTAAGCTTTGGCTGTGTGTTCTTTGGGATAGTAGGTCTTAAGTTCTGAAAGATTGGAATAGCTGTTAGATTCTCTCTGTAAACATAAAACATACTCCCTCCATCCCACGAAATTGGAACAAAAATAATAATAATAATAATAATAATAATAATAATAATAATAATAATAATAATAATAATAATAATAATAATAATTTCATTCCGGTGTGTGTCCCACTAGAATTGAAGCATTTCCCAGACTATGAGAAACAGACATATGGATATTTTTCACAAAATCATCATTGGTTGATGGTCAGTTCATTGCTTTTCATATGTGAGGTCTTGCGTTCGAGTCTTTTATTGCGATTTTTTTAGAAACATAAAGTGAATCAAAATTTAAAAGCTAAAACTAAAAAAAATGACACTAACAGGATTTGAACTTGGGTCTGGGCTGGAAGAAAAGCGTTGCAAACAAACTTTACCAAGAGAAACTTGTGTTTTCATTGTAGTTTTAAATATATATGGTGGCACACAACAAATTTGATATGATGACACTTTTCACCACTATAATTTTTTACACTATGATGGAGGAACGAAACAGTGGCTCGTGCCACCGTATCCAATATGGTGGGTCCGCCCCTAATCTTCATTTGTAAGTTCATATAATTCCATCTTTTATTGTGATTGAAGAGTACATTTTAATGCAAAATGCTTCAAAAATGCAAACAAAGTATGGTTTAGTTCGTATTTACTGCAAAGAATAATTTTTTTTCTCTATCTATGTAACAAACTTCCAATTTTCCTATTTTTACCCATTTTGACCGGTAATATGTTGAACTTGTAATATCTGATGACGTAGATACTCATTTGTGAATACAACAAAGGGGACAATAAACTTGACATCCAGTTCATCAAATTGTTAGACTAAATAGGAACCAAGGCAAACTTTGTTGCATTTTGTCCTACATTTTACCATGTGGTCAGACAAACACTGAATTTCATGACATACAGGAATTATAAGTGCATAACAAATAAAATAAATGATGTCTTACCTTCTGAACCACTCCAATGGCTGCCTGTACTGGGGTCAAGTACTCGTATGGAAGCTGGACAAGCAAATATACAAGAATATGAGTATTAATGTACTTAAAATAGACCAAAATCAATGTTTAACGACCAAAATATACCTTTCCGGTTAGTAACTCCCATAAAACCACCCCAAAACTGAAAACGTCGGCCTTGTGATCATAGGGCTTGTGTTCAATAACCTTCACGATGAAAACAAGAAAAGTGTCATAAGAGAAAGCCAACATCATCTATAAGCCAATAACCTATATGCACATGGTAATTAGAGTCCCACGTCGGCTAAGCCTGAACACTTTCTCTTCATTATATGTTGGAACCCCCATTCTCTCCTCATGCGCTCTTTTGGAGGGTAATCTAATGAGATTCCACATATTCTCACAGTAACAATCACAAAGACTTGGTAATATTATTTGGATAAATAATTCTGTCATCAACAAAGAGTATTTTAGACATTTAATTAATAGTTTCTTGAACAATAAGCAGGACAGGAGTCCTTTTTATGCAAGGAAAGAAGTTGTGTGAGTGTGTGACCAAAAATGTAGTTTCAGAATGCATACATTTAACGTTAATGGAGCAAAAGATCATAAACATTGCATCATATATAAAGCCTGGTATCAAGAACGCACCTCAGGAGCCATCCATCGATATGTCCCAGTTTCTGCTGTCATGACACCAGTCTGTGCCTTCACTCTTGCAACACCAAAATCAGCTACCTTAACGACCTGAATAAGAAACATCGAATAGATTTTTGGCTGAGCATCATGAACAATAATCTGAAACTGTTATTTTCCATAGATTGACTTGATCTTACATTGAACAACTTTTTTATGCCTTGAGGCAATACAAGTAAAACCATGATTAAGATGAAAAGAATAGATGATGACTGGAGTCACCTGAGGCATAGAAAGAAACATCTATACACATATAATTCTAGTCTATCCTATTTTCTTTCAACATAACCAGTGGTGGTGTAACTTTTTGGTCAAACATACACCAGTATGGCCTGATCATAGCATTTTTTTATGAATTCAAGCACGTTTGTTAAGTTTAGTGTTGGCATGAAGTTTGAGACAGAAATGAAGAAATTGCACAATTTCTTTAAAGATTCAATCCTACAGTGTGGACTCGTTATTTCTTTGAGGCCCATCACAAGTAAAAAGATCATGTTCGATCATACATGAAAAGGTCCCAGGCTCATACGCTACCTAGCTTTTAACACCCAAGGCCCTAATAGGTAGTACCTCTTAAAGATTATATGTTTCAAATGAAATATATCATAGATGTTTTACTTTATTTTATTCTTTTGAGAAACTCTGTTGACCATTAACCTCAACTTTAAATAAAAGAATTGAATGGTTGATATTGTTTCTTGGGAGAACCTAATGGATGACACAAATGGATACAAACTTGAACATGATCATTGGTCATATTTGTTGGCCTTGTGATAGACCTATTTCACTAGGTAATTATGGAAGATAACTGTCCATGCAAGAAACCAATAAAAAACGAATTTGGCCCCTGTACGACCTCAGTGTCCATGATCATTATATGGATGCCCATGGCTCATTTTGAATTTATTAAGACATAGGTGAATCTGATTGGTGTAGACATCTACATGACCCTGGTGGTACACATAAACATAACCACTTACTTTAATCTATCTTATGAAAGATCCGGAAGTGATACGAGAATATAAAAATCCTTTAGCATGTTCCTTATGATGCAAAAATGTCCAGGCCCATCCTGTAACTTAGTCCTATTTGTTTAATTTCTATTAGCTTCAAGCCAAGAACTATTCTGTTGTTAAAGAAGAATACTTCTATAATAAAAATGCAGAAAAGATAAGCATCTTACATCATTTTCATCCATCAGAAGATTTGCAGCCTTCAGGTCCCTGTGTATTATATTATTCTGGTGCAGGTAGTCCATCCCCCTTGATATATCAATTGCAACCTTGAGCAATATTGGAAGCTTAAATGTACCCTTTTGTTTGTGCAAATAATCATACACGCTTCCGCCACTCATGAATTCTGAGTTGCATGAAAGCAAAAACCAACTAAATTACCAAAAACGTACCCATGAAAAGACAAATATAAAAATCCAAATCCTTCATCACATTTTTGACACTATATCAAATAGCAATTAAAACGTACCCGTTACAATGCACAAGCTTGAAGGCTTGGTACATGCTCCTATAAACTGCACAACATTCTTATGTCGGATTTTCCTGCATATAACCAATAGAAGTACATAATAAATTGAAAAGAACATTTGAGGGATCCTGTCCAGTGAATACAGAAGTTGTTAACTAGTAAAGCTTGGTATGTCTTAAAGAATTATAAGAAGGAAGTTGTAAAATTTGGATACAATAACATTCATTTATATTTACAGCTCTGCAGTCGAATTGATGCATCCAATGGTAATTAATGACAAACCTCATGATATAAACTTCTTGCGCAAACTCCTTCTGCATATCTGTATCTATGCGTTCGGCTTTGAGCACCTTGATAGCCACTTCTTGACTACGATATGTACCTTTATATCTAAATTAACACAAAGACAAAATGTGAAGTTCAGATCCCCATATGATCCAGATCCAAAAACAGTGACTAACATATAGTCCTCCATCCCAAAATATAAAAAAAAACCTTTTTGCTCAACACAAAAATTAAGATAACTGCTTATTATTTCAATATGTATCTCACTATTTATATACTATTTGTGAAGTTGAAATTTATCGTCATCATGTGTCTAGGTGAAAAATTCTGTAAGGATTTTCGATTTTGTAGAATATTTGAACCATTAAGTGTAGAGTTTGATGTAAGCAAGTGTTGACCAAATTTCATTTAATTAGCTAAAGTTGATGTATATGTGAACCTATTTATCCAAAAAGAGCAAAGTGTAGTTCTTTTATTAGAACAGTAAAAAAAGATGCATATGTTGCTTATAAACAGAAAAATCAAAAGGCTCTTTTAATTTGGGACAAATCAAAAGCTTGATTTGATTTGGGAGGAGGGAGTATTCAGTCATAGAAGACTTACAGGTCGCCATAAGATCCAGATGCAACTTTGTGGTCAAGTGTCAAAAACTGAGGATCAATTTCCCATACATCTATCCCATCATTAGGTATTCTTAAGTGATCAACATGGCAATTTTTTCCTGCTTGGTCTTGCTCACTCACAGGAGATGATGAACACTGATCTGACCAAGACTGTTTCTGCACAGAGACGCAAACCTAGTTAACATCCAAGAATGGTGTAGTTACAGAAAAATGGCATAAAGAAAATATGTTTTTATAAGCAACCATATCAAGGGTTGCAGACACAAATACACTCTAAATAAAGACATAACTGGTGTACATCCAGATAAATTGTAATGCCAAGTATTTGCCATCAAATCCCAATGTGAGAACCTGAACTTTCAGATATACTTGTAACAAAAAGTTATTTAAAGAGGGGAGAACCAAAAAATGCAGCGTGTTAGCAATAACATGCAAATCAGAAAGTTGTCATACAATCCAGTACACCCCATGAAGTGCAAACATATTCATTTAGTTTGAAAATCTTTTGCACGCTTAGATTTTCAGTTTGAAATCCAGCAGCAGAGCCAATAAATACCACATTACACTTATTCAATGCAGATTTCAAAAACTTGATGCAACTGTTTTTGAAAAGCTTTGATCTTAGTTGATACTACTCCACGCATTAAAATCTCTCAGCTTCAGCACACGGGTTCTTCACTATGTGGATGTGTATCTTATGTCAAAAAGGGGGATATGGTGAAATTGGTAGACGCTACGGACTTAATTGGATTGAGCCATGGAGTTTGAAAAATCCAAACATCTCAGAGGTAAATAGAGAGGTAGGAATTTATGGAACGAACCGCACTCCTATCTGCCTTTCGGGGGGCCTATTTCAACCATAACTCTAAACCCCTCTTCACCAGTCTATGTCCATATTTTTTTTGTGTGATCTATTTGATAATGACATAAAGCTGATGTCATAATCGAGTCCTGAAAGATCACAATTACCACAGAAGACAAACAAAATAAACTTATTCATACAATTACAATCTCATTCACTTAGATTAACAAAAGCTTTTCGTTTTGCCTTGCATAACTGGATTGCCCAAAGGGGGAAGTTCATAAAATGCACAAACTGTTAACTAGTAGCAACCACTCTAGCAGGTTCAGACCACATAAGATACAGGAGCAGTAAAGCTTCTGAGCAACAACATTGGGAATCAAGTTAATCATCTCAAGTTACATATATCGAATTTGTGTGTAATTTGGGTATGTATTACTATCACAATTTTTTTAGATGCACTACAATAAAAATCTTTTTTACACAGAAAAACACTACAATCTTTTCTAGGTATGCATGTGCATACCAGAGGGCTACATAGATCCACCCATGACTACATTTAGGTTCTTGCTTCATAGGAGATCATGGGAGCTACCACTATGTCAACTTGAATACTTGTAACATACTGTAATCAATTGGAGTGCAGCAAAAAAAAATCAAATGTATGAATCTCATAGACATATGATATCAGTACATACCTCAAGCTTAAAAAGTTTTCTTTCCAATGCATCTCGGAGCTGTTCAATTTCCTGAAAATATGTGTACAAAAACTTCCATAAAAACAACAGCCTATACATTATAGCTCCTAAAAGCACATAGCCGAGCTTGACCTAGGTGTTCCGGAAAAGATCTTAATCATCATAATATCATATATTATAGGTCAGGTCTGAAACTAGTTTCCACATAGGCATCAAAGAAAGTTGAATACAAATTACTTTGAATGAAGAAACTGTTTGTGGAGCATATGACAGAAAAATATGTAGAAATGGTAGCCTATGCTGTTATAGCGGTGAAAAAGCAAAATTGCGGTCAGGACCGATATTTGAAATGGCGGTTATGGCGGTGGTATTTCTTAGAATTATACATACATATATATATATATATATATATATATATATATGTATGCATACATAAACATATCATATGCATTAATTAAAAATATAGTTTCAACATCAAAACATCAACTTAAACAAGTTTCACAAAACAAAATAGGAAAAATGTCAATAAGCATGCTAATCGCAAGCAATAGATTCAGCATCCGAGTCAAATAGTTCTAAAGAGACCCAAGCAAAAATAGCGGAATATAGGTCCACAATTTCACCTCAAATACTCGGTCAAATATCGTTCAATTGCGCCGCTAATATTGGAAACACAATTTTCACCGCAATTTGACCACCGCAATTTTATCTTAGTTCACAATCCGCTATTGCAATGCAATAACGCCACAATTAACAGCATAGATGATAGCTCAGCTGACTTTCAGTATGTAATAAATATTCTAACATTTTCTAAAGTGTCATGATTTGAAATTAAATGCCAAACTGGAAATTATTTTGGGTCAAAACCTTGGAGCATAAAAATCATTATCTTCGTAAACTATATGAAAGGTACCCTCATATAAAAACTTATGACCTTTTTTTAACACATTGTGACCCAATAAAATCAAGTAATTTAAAATAAAAATATAATTCAATACATTACCAGTTCAATACCAAGTCAGACCAAGATACGTGATAGAGAAGAACATGATTAGCACATGCCAGAATATGGACAGCAAATACATGTCTAATCTTACCTCCACTTGCAACTAACTATATATGTAATAAAATTTGGAGCAGACTAAGATACCTCATATGGCCAACCATCAACAACAAACACATCTAACGAGTAGCGATCTACTGTAGAAAAAGCATGTGCTTCCTGGATGTTCAGTCCTACTTCAGCCAGTAAACATGTTAACTGCAATTTTTGTACACCAAATATACGTTAAGTGCAAAGAATGACTCCAAAAGAATCCCCCCTAAAGATTTAAATCACTCTTTGCACAAATACAACATCAAGTTCTTATCTACTCGCCTTATTCTCATGCCTTGGCTACAACTAGAGTGTGTTTTCAAAATGGCAATCAATTCTCTAGCTAAATTTTGCCAAAATAAGCCATGCATATATTTGCAGTTCCTCTTCTTGAATAAAGCAACAAAGGAACAAAAAGCTTCTGTGAAGAAGCAAATTAGTGAAAAGAGCATGCCAACTTGTAGAAATATCCACCAATGGAGAAATGTACAAACAGGAGTGCTCTCCAATAAAGATGTTAGGATCATTTGAAAAATGAAAACTCCACGGTCCATATGTGGATCAACTTATTGTTAGCAGAACAAATAAGTACCTGACTTAGAAGCTTTGGTTTGTCATCTGTTGAAAAGGTAATTTCATGCATTGGCCTGTATAATTATCAATAACAATTTGTAAGCTGTCCATTAATTAACATGGTGATCATAAAATAATGAATGTTAATTAACTACATTATCCATTTATAATCACAAGCAAGAATCTAATTGAATCTTAAGAATGTTAACACCTAACCAAATGAAAGCATGTATATGATCATTGTTGAATTATTCAAAATGAATAAGTTCAGTCAACTTCAGTTATAGGTTTTTTTTATTAACCTGGATATCCAACCCGCTATGCAAGCCAACTTTAATTATAGTTTTATTACTAAAAAAATAGGAGTTTGTTATTTTATTTTGCTAGATATATATATATATATATATACACACACACACACATGTGCATTGTAAACCTAAGACATACGACTGGTAGAATTGAAACACTTTCAGCAGTAAATATAATTTCTTCCAGGACTGAATGCTTTTAATCATAAACATGAAAATAATTAGAGTTTTAACAAGAAAGGTCGGAGAAGCATAAAGGCATTCGAAATATTTACTATACAGTCTGGTTGTTCCTTCACTAATTAGTTAAATCTGACATCTCATATGTACATACATGAAGATTCTTCCAGTTTAATAAGAGGGTAATTATCCATGAAAGAAAGAAAAATATTGTCTAGATCAGACCACAGGAAGTTAAAATATAAGCATACAAATAACTACCACAAGATAATATGTAATGTAAGGCAACTGAATTGATCTATAAAAAGGCCTACAAAAGAAATTCAAATCTATACTCCTTTAAAGAAAAAGACCGAAGTGATTCATATGTAGACTTATTACAACTAATGAATCGGCCAAGTAAAAAGACCTACAAGGAAAAGACTTGTGCTTTTCACTGCCTTCCTGTTATTACTACTTTTCCCATGACCAAAACAGTTGCAAATATACGAAAAATCAGCATAAGTAATTAAAATACCAGGGAAGGTTTGTGTGGCTATTTACAGCACCATTCCCATTCCGAGTTAGTGACTCCTTTGCTTCAAGTGCAAGGGATTCAAGAGCAAGGGCTTCAAGATTAGGTGATGACCCAAAGGCAGGTGGTGGATGAATGCTGTCAAAAGTTGATCATCAATTCACAAAGTTGAAGAACCCGAAATCAAAGACAGAAATGAACAAGAAAACTAATAGTAAAGAAATTTAAGAAGGGCCTGCATGAGGAAATTAAAAACTGATTAGTGACACTCACATACGAGTATACGACTTTGATAAGCTAAGAAAATACTATATGTTGGAGGGTTATAGTGTGCAGGCATCTAAAGTCGTACCTTTGGGCTATTGGCTTCCCAGGTGAGCTGCAACCGCCTAAATCATCCGAGTTACTCTCAGCCAGTGGAGAAACCTGCGTTAGAAGCAATACAATTTAGACCTGCTATACCAACCAAAAAGTTAATTAAAATAACAAAGATTATATAATATTCAACAAAAACTAACCTATACAGGCAACAAGAAGAAAAGAAGATACCTTGGTGCAATGAAATTAAAAAAAACGTGTATAGATATTAAACAAAATACATAACTGTCTGTCTGAGTCAAAATATTTGAGAGATCTGCGGAGATTTCAGGTTATTTGATTTACAAAACCTTAAACCAATAGCAAGATAACTTCTACAAAATTATACACACAGTGGGAATCATGTCAAATAGATATTTTTTGCACTTTATTATATGACATAGTCGAATCAATAATGCAAGCTCTTGCAGGGGCCACCACTTTCACTTAGTAAACTTAACCATGGTAAAAATGTCATAAAATGGTCAACAACCGTAAGAAGGCTAATGATGGTGACCTATAGAAGACTGACCCAACATGAAAAATGTTAACAGAAGGCCAACCAACTTCATATTATCCAAAAATGAACTTTGTCTGCACTGAAACATTGCATATACGGGCATAGCACATGCACATGCAGATATTACAGATAGAGATAATGTTCCATGTACCAAATGTGCTTTGCAGTTTTGGACTTCCCTGAAGATTTAACTTTTTACAAGGCTTTATTGCAATGTCACAAATTAAGGTGTCAGACACACCATCTATGTAGAACTTAGAAGGAAACTTCTCTCACATCTTTGCTATTGTATTAAGTTTAGTCATGTCAAGGAACCAATTATGAATCACTACATCCATTTCAACCTGAAATCCTGGTTTGGGCTTTGTGACTGAAACTAAACATCGTTTTGACTTACAAAGGAAGTAAATTTATTCAATTTTTAGAAGAGAGGAAAGTTCAGTAAACTATGTAAGACAGTAAAACCACATGATTTATGTTTTTACAGAAATTGGTGAGCTTGACAACAAACTCAATCCAGGATTACTTTTTGGTACGGAAGGAGCAAGAATTGTATCAAGCAAAAGCAAAAGCAAACCATGGCTACAGTAATAAATAAACCAAGAGGTTAGTGTTAGAAGTATTGTTAAATAAACAGACCTGTACCAGCCGGACCTCAAATACAATCCCATTAGAAGGATCATGTGCTAGATTCAACAGGCGCTTGTGCATGAGAACATCTTCTGCCCTTTCCACATTTACATCAAATGCATACCTTCAATGCAGTATAGCAAATTCACGAGATATAAATGAGCAGTGAGAGTCTACCAAACACTTTTGACATTTCAACTTTAATTTCCAAACCACCAAAGGAAAAGAAAATTGAGTATTCAAAGGAAAAGTTAAAGAAAACAAAGAATTATGCAAGCTAAACATATAGTAAACACACAAACACAACAAATTAAATATTATATAATAATATGAAGTTTATATACAATTGTACAAATATTAAACAAACATAAACCAATGATCGTTCATGGTCCACTAACATATAAAAATATGTTGAGTGCATTGAATCCAAAAGTTGCCTTCTTCAACACCAAAGTGGACATGTTAATTCCGCCTTAATCCAATGGACATTAAAAGCATTAAAAAATTGCAAACAATAACATGCCTAACTTACAAAAACAAAGACACACACATATACGTAATAAGCATGATCTGTAATCCATGTTCTGATCGTGAGTGGTTTTTTTTCCCAAAATTGGTTTTCAAAACGTGAGGGCTAGGGTTATTTAGTAAAGAAGAAGAATAATAGTTTTTACATATACCTGGTCGGTAGACGATTGAAGTGAGCCAAGAGCTCATCATCAAAACCAGGTTTTTTAGCTTCACCATTGTTGGATTCTTTGAGTCGCCGAAGAATCTCATTGTAAACCTCTAGCTTTTGTATCTGATGCCGATTACTGTTACCATTATTCGCCGCCGTGAACGACCGCATCGATTCCATACTCATACTACCACAACTCTCATTATCCACCGTCACCATTGCCACAAGATCAATATATATTGTCGCCGTAAATCAAAATAAACAACAAAAACTCCAAAAATCTCTTGAGATCCGATCAAATCACTAAAACGGAAGATTCAAGAACACATTTATTGAAATCTGATCCGCAGTATGCCTTCCGCTTTGTGTATACGTGTGTGCATATTCATGCCTCTCTCTCTCTCTCTCTCTCTTCGCTTCTCGGCTTCTCTGTATATGTATAGTATTTGTGCGGTGGAATTCTTATATCTTTTCTCTTTTGTTCTGATACGGTGTCGTTTAGCGGAATCTAATTATGGATATACTATTTTATATTTTTGTAATGGATTTGACTATTTAGTGGATAACTATATATATATATTGATATCAAGCATCGTAACGGCGGGGGTGTTTTAATGCAATACTACATCGTTTTATGCAAAAGTTGATGAAAATTATAGGAAATTCCAACAAAACCCAAAATCCATTTTTCAAAACCATCTTCTTAAAGTAATTAAAGTTTAGATAGAAATTTGAATTTTTATGTGAAATTTATTCTATATAAAAATTTATAAAGTAATTTTAAAAGTATAATATTATAATAAGAAAAGTCATGTCAGCACTATTGTATATGTAGACAGTCTACGTAGATGATGAGGTAGCAAAAAAAACTGGTATAATAGGTAAATTTAATTTAGGTTATTCAATGTTATAACGGGTAAATTTTTGAAAATACAATGTCCTAATAAAAAATAAAATTTATAAAAACAAATTATTATTTCGCAAAAATTGAATATTTGAATCAATTTCTCGAAAATTATTCATGTGTCGTCGTTTTGTAAAAAGTGTAGGTGTTTGACTCTGGGTGCTATAAAAACTTGAATATTGTAGGTAATGGAAAGCAGTTTCCTTTCACGGGAGAGGTGTGAAATGCAGGCGGTGTCCGTTGGGGGCGGGGGATGTGATAAAAGATTTATTAAAATTATATTTAATAAAATAAGATCGACATCGGGATAATTTTTTATATTTTTAGGGGTTATTTGTTTATCTCTTAATAATTCTAGTAAGAAACAATCTCTGAATAGTTAAAAAGTGTCTTGTTTGGCAAAAAAAAATCTGTCTCTTAATGGTTCTAAAACTTTTTGAATGATTTTATATCTTGTGTCTCCCTTAACCATTAAGAGCCCTAATTTCATTGTAAACAATTACCAAACAATTATATTTCATTTTGCACTATATCATGAGAACCTCTTAATTATTCTGACCATTTAATGATTATTTTACAAAACCATTCAACAACTACCAAAACAGCCTCTTATTAGTGATAAATTAAGTACAAATATGGCTATCAAATGTTCAATAAAAATTCAAATTGAATTTGTATAAGTTTTAATTAAGTATTCAATAAAATTCAAAAGAAGCGATAAAAGATGTATGGAAATCTTTAAATTTGAAGAAATCTGTAAAAGTTAATATTGATTAAAGAGATATTATTTTTATTGTTTTACAAGCTTAATTATTTTTTATAAATTTATTTAAAAGTGTATTAGGATGATTAATTTATAACAATATTTTAATAGTATAATTAATATTAAAATTACTAAATTAAAGTATGTGTTGAAGTAGGATATAATTTTTTAGAGACTTTAATTTTTGAAAATTTATTTAGAAGAATTATAGCATATAATTTTTTTTGAAAGGCAAAAAAGAAGGACAATGAAAGAGCTTCGGCATGACCATCACCCTCACCAAGCCAACCAATATATTAAATTATAACATATAATTAATGTCAGAATTGCTAAAGTCAAACATATTTTCTTATGTGTAGTTAGGTTTTCTTTGAGGGGTTGTTTGATAGTTGTTGGATGGTTTAGTACAAAATGATTAAGTGGTTAAAATGATTAAGAGACTTTCATGATATAGTGTAAAATGAAATATAATTGTTTGGTAATTGTTTACAACGAAATTAAAGCGCTGAATAGCTAATGGAGGACCAAAATGCATAATTATTTAGATAATTTTGATATCATTAAGAGACATACTTTTTTTGTCAAACAAGATTCACCTCTTAACGATTCAGAGGTTGCCTCTTAATGAGACTATTAAGTCTTGTATGCATAAAAAACACTATGTGGATCAACATGTTTGTATAAATTGAGAAGAGTTTTATTTGGGAGGGTTTTTTAATATATTAAATAAGTATATTTTTTTAATTGGGAAGGACAGACTCAGGAAAAATTTGATTTTCTGCATGATTATAAGGGGGTGTTTGGTTTGTAGAATGTTATTTGATAGAATAGAACATGTCAAATAAATTTGACTTTGAAAGAATTGAAATAAAATATTATCATGTTTGACCACTTGTTTGATTGACAGACATGGAATGTAATAGTTGAAAGAATTAAAATATGTTTGTTTGGTTCATATAGTGTAACTTTAGAATTATAATGAAATATTGATAAATGACCAAAAACTTTTTTTTTAATATTGAAACCAAAATCCAACTACTGTGGTTCACATCGTCGATGATTAGCAGTCATTCAAATGGTGGTAGTTTATATCGATGGTGGTCGACGGTGGTTCCGATCGGTGGTGGTTGACAGTGGTTCATACCAATGGTGGTCGGCGATAGTCGGTGGTGATTCAAATCAAGTAGGGATTATAAGAATAATTTTGAATTTTTTAGAAAATGTGATGAAATGAAATTGAATTTCTTCTCAATTGTAAATTTGTAATGGAATGACCAAATTTATGAATGGTGGAATTCAATTATATTCCATTGTGAATCCTAACACTCTAATAGAATTTAGTCAATGAAATTGATCATTCCAATTCTTTTAAGTTTCGTTGGAATTTTACGAACCAAACGTTCCCTAAGCCTCTCTTTTGAATCTTACTAAATAACTCACTTTCTATATTATTAAAATACTATTAAACAATCATATATAATTCATCGAATAAGTTGTGGTACGTATTAAATTGGTAACAAATTAATCTATACTATATTATAAAGCATTTAACAAAAACTCTTAAAAATAATTTTTTATGCATGAAGTACTGTATATTAATGCATATTACTTAAAATTCAAGATTACAAGTAAATTATGCATAAGTACAACTTATTAAAGCTCTATGTTTCAATAGTCATGTAACTAACTGCGGATAAACATCAAATAAAGAATAAACATCTCATTTTAAAAATAAAATTAAGATAATTATCAAGTTGTAAAAAAATAATTAACTATTATCTTTATAAGAAAATTATATTATTAAACCAAATATAAATTACTTCGTTATTGAACTTAAATTAAATTATAATTAAAAAATTGAAATAAAAAATTACACAAAAATCGAGGAATTTTAGATAGTTAATTTGATACTAATATCAATATAATTTTGTCAAATTTTTATGATATCTTCAACTTTGGATTTTATTCAAAAATAAAAACATTATCATTTTTTTAAAATCACATAAGACCATATTATAACATCGATTGAGATAAAAAAATAAAATGAAATATTAAGATTAAGATATATCTCGCTGTATTGCACGAATACCCTTCTAGTATATTCTAATTGTTTTAAATCTTTTAACCGTAAAAAAAGAAAATGAAATGAAATAAAGTTTGAGGTTGATAAATGGTTGTAGACGGTTTGCATGCGGCGGGCAAAGCATGGACGCCACGTGGGATAATGACATGGCAACAAAAAGCGGCTTTTGGGAGTCACCAAGAGTCAGCCGCATTGACAGGTCAAGTCAAGATAGTTGTTGCATGAAGTTATGACGTGGCCCCAAATTAAGTTCGGCCAGACAATATCTAGAAATATTAAATATATATATGTAAATAGGTTCATTTTTTTAAATGTTTTAACAAGATATATTTTAATTATAAAATAATAAAAGACCATTGATTTTATTTTTTAAATTAGAAGAAATCAAGAAATAGATTCTCTGATGGCTTTACCATTTCTAATTCATGTATTTATTTTTCATAACATCAATTCTTTCTTACTTTCTTAAAATTATATATATATATATATATATATATATATAAAAGAACGATCAAATGAAAACCATTTCAATTTGTAAAAACCGTAAAAACTATTCTCATTTATCGTTAATCTTATAATTTTTTTTCATGAAATTGTTAATCTTGTGAAATTGTTTCATATAACACTTTTTTTGATGAAGTTGTTTCATATGTGGTTATGAAATTGTTTCATATNCTCCACAATAAAAATGGTTAATCAACCTCTCATAATTACAAAAAAATGAACAAAATGAAAAATTATGATTGGTTGAATGAGGTTTTCACGGTTTTTACAAATTGAGTGGTTTTTATTTGAACCCACCCCTATATATATAGGTGGAGGTTCAAACAAAAACATCTCAATTTTACGAGAATTCAAGAACATCTTTATCACATGTGATAATACACTTGAGGGAACTTGGTGGTGTATAAATGTCGTGCCTTGCGACTTAGGTCGCACCAAAAGTCGTATACGTGTATGATTTAGTATAACATGTGATGAATTATAGTATCACATTAATAACACATTTATCACATGTGATAAAACATGTAAGGGGCTTAGTGGTGTAAGGGCGACTGGGCCCATAACTTAGATCGCGTCAAAAGTCGTCCACGCCTCTGATTTAGTATCACATGTGTATCATATGTATTGGAATAATAGTATCATATGTTTTTGTTTATGGTAAAAAATATTCTCACGTTCTTGTAAAATAAAGGTGTTCTCGTTTGAACCATTCCCTATATATACATATATCAGGCTGGACTCACTCTATAGCATGTAAGGGCACATGTTATTGTTTTATTTCTCTGTCATAATGTTAACTGTTATAGAGTTATAAAGGATTTCATTGTATCATTTTATTATGCATAACTTGGTTGCAGCAACCATATATATACTGAAACTACAATTATGTTCAGGTTTGCATGTCTTTTTTTTTCTTTGACAAAATTAGTTTGAATGGCTTTTTTCCCATATGAGTTATTGGTTCGACTTCTGTTCGGATCACTTTCTAATTGGTTTTTAATTTTTAGTTTAAAATTTATTATGTTTCTAAAAAAAATTGTAATAAAATACTTGGACACAAGATCTCACATGAAAAATGTAAGGATCTGACCAAAATACCAATAATGATTTTGTAAAAAATATCCCCATATATAAATGTTGGTACTTTCCAACA